GCCACCCTAACACCTGGCACAGAACAGGTCCACCACGTACATCTGCTGAATGAAGGGAAGGCCACACATGAGTTCAGTTCCAGCTCAATCACCTGCTAAGCTGTGGCATGTTATGTCTTTTTCTGAGCCTTGGTCTGATCACTGAAAATGGGACTCATAGTCCCACTTGCCTCCCAGATGCCCCGGTGGTCAGCACCGAGGGACGGGCCAGTCCTCACCCAGTGCTCCCCAGGGGACAGGGCCCAGCAAGATCTGCCGCTCACAGGTTCCCAGCCGCACCCGCCTCCTGCCCACTGCAGAGAGGTTGCTGCCGCCGGCGGTGGAGGCAAGCCTCAGCAAACACATTTAAATCTGAAGTGACAGATAAAGCGATTTACGGCGACAGTTTAGCGTCAGATCACTTCCCACAAGGCAGTCGGCGTCCCTGGCCCCCTGCTTGCTAGTCCATCAAGGCGGTCTCTAAATCACTGACTCCGAGCGGTGGCCCAGGGACAGCGAGGGAGCCCCAGGCCCTCCGGGCAGCAGCGGGATGAAGCGAGGAGTTGGCTGACTCGGCTGGAGGAGGGACGAGAGGCCGCTGGCAGACCGCAAACCAAAGCCCCAGGACTTAAGGAAGCAGAGTGCCACTCCATGCTTTATTTTAAATAAGCAGCTCCAAAAGCTCCCAGCGAGGCCAGCTTGTCACTGTGAACCATGGCTTCCCACCCGGTCTGCATGGCGTGGCCCACATGCCCGGACCCCTCCAAGGCCTCACTGACCCGCCTCGCCTCCCGCCACCTCCCGGCAGAATTAATTGGTCCCTGCGGCGTCGCATGACACTTTGTTTAGACCTTGTTTCCAGTGCTTTGTCACATTATATTCTACTTAGTTGCTCTTGCTCCTGACTTCCCAAAAATAATTTCTTGGGGGCTCCCTGTGCGCCAGGCCCTGGCTCAGCACTGGGCGAGCCTGAACTCGTGTCGTCCTCACACCATCATGGATAGAACCAATGATAACCCATTTTTCAGATGAGGAAATAGAGGCTCACTCAGACGTGCCTGGTTGGAGGCTGCGGTGCCACCAGCAAGAACGCTGGGAACCTAATCCAGCTCCTGCCCTCTGTGCCCGTGGCTCTGACTCAATGGCCAGGGACACCTCTGAAGGGCTCTTTCTGTCTTTGCACGGAGCTTCCCATTCACCCTGCTCCATCCTGTTACGCCTGAAGGCCAGAGCCAGAGGCCCAGCCCTGGGCTGGCCCAGAATGGGGGTCTTTCTTTATGCTGGGACACTTCCTCAGCTGTCTGTTGAGAACTAGGGGCCCATAGGCACACTGGGAACCTCATGGAAGTGACCCAGTCAAGGTCATGCCCCCCACCCATGGCAGAGATAGGACACACACTCCAGAAGCTGGAGAACGCCCCCGGGGTGGAGACCCCAGACCTGGAAGAGATGCCAGACATGGCTCTCCCCAGACACAGCCTGGGGAGGCAGAACTGCCCCCCAGAATCTCCCAGTCCAGACAGGGGCCTGCAGGGGCTTATCTTGCCAGCATGGCAGCCCAATTTAATTAAGATGGATGCTGCGTGCCCCCGTGGGCAGGAGCCGTGGCCGGCACAGATGGCAGGAGCCTAAGACTCTCTAGTGCTGCTTGAGCAAGCGGCCTTGGCCAGCCGGGCTGAGGAGGGTCCAGGGATGTCTGCACTGTGCCTGGGGACTTGAGAGACTTGGTCCTGCCCCTGTGACCTCAAGCCCCGCCACCCACAGGCCAGGCAGTCCCCCTTCTACTGTCTTCCCAGCCCCCCTCCATATACCATATAACATACCTCACATACCACGCACACCACACACACACCAACCACATCTCAGACATCAGCAAAGTGGGGTAAAAATCAGTCCTGGACTTCCAATGCCAGGGTTCCAGCAGGGAAACAATGTGATTTTCCGAAGTCCTGAGAGGGGCCATGGGCAGGGTCCCTCTGTGGGGCAGGGCGGGCACCTGGCTCCTGCCCTCCCCAAGGACTCCCCAGCATCCTCCCGAGGGTCAGGGAGGCCCTCTCAGCTCAAGGCTCTTCAGGATGGAGGGGGCTTGGGGGGTCCCAACGCCCTTTCTCTCCTAGGCCCTTCCCAGCTCCCCGTGCCTCCCCCTCCATGGTCCCTGCAAGTGGAGCAAAGCCCAGGCCGCGATGGCACCTTCGCCACCCCCATTCTGACCACAGGGACAAAAAGAGACACCCCCCCACAGGATCTGGAAGCTCCCAGCCCAGTCCAAGCCCCACCGGTCCCCACGGGCCACTGACCCCATGGGGCCAACACTGCCCTTGGCTTCGAAACTAAAAATCTGAAAATCTCCACCCCTGGATAACTGCTCGCCCCTTTTCCCCATTGTGGTGGCTCCGCGTCGTTGTCGCTGAGAAGCAATTATTCACGGCTAATGATTATAATCAAGTCAAATAGAATTTAATGGACACGTATTCTCTTCCTGCTTGAAACTTTACATATGAATTAAGCACATATGGGTTTCACGAAGCACGGGCCAGATTTATGCAGCCCGGAAAAGCCCCGCGACGCCGCGGCCTCCATTCCGCTAATAAACAGGCTGATTTACGGGCGCCGCGGGCGTGGAGACCGCGATCTCTGCTGCCCCCTGGTGGGCAGTGCGCGGCCTCAGCCGAGACGGCGGGGTCCCCGGGATGAGGCCCGAGGGAGGCCCCCGGGTGTGGGGCCCCTGAGCCAAGACCACCAAGGGCCCCTGAGGCCTCATCAGTGCCAAGGCCACCCGAATACCAGGGCTCGGCAAACACCTGGATGGATGGCCTGGAGGGGATGCAAGCTCCGTGTGGGACCCCCAAGTCCAAGGGCCAGCCTCAGCCATTCCCTGGGGTTCCAGGCGGGTTCTGGGTTCTCCCTGCTATGAGACTTTCTAGGAATAAAAAGGAGATCCCAAGAAACCACACCAAGAGGTGTTGGGTAAACTGAGGCAAGAAGAGGAAAGAGGAAGCTGCTCATCTGTGGGAGGCACCCAGCACCCCTTTTCACGGCTGAGACAGGGCTGACGCCCATCACAGAGTGACGGTGATGGCATTGATTCTAGCACCGACGACAGCGGCAGGTGCTGAGCTCTCGCTTCATGCCAGGCGCTGCGTGCGCACCACAGTTCATGAGCATCAGCACCTAATGTCCCCCAACACCCCATAGCTGGGTTTTCTACCGCCCCTATCATGCAGAGGACACAGGGCCCAGGCAGGTACATGGAAAAGGGGAGTCCTTGGAGAGACATGCAAACGCTGCCACCCTCAGCCTGGTGCAGTCAAATGAAGCCAGAACCAGAGTGCTTCTCTGAGCGTGCGAGGGGCTGCCAGAGCCGCTGCTCTCGGAGGCTGGCCAGGCACGAGGGCGCTCAGGAAGGGCCATTAATCACGCCGCAGCCCTCCAGAGCCCCCACCCGCTCCATCTGTATCCCATCGACACCCTGCCTTGGTCGTCCCACCCTCCTTCCTGGCCCGCCAACCACCCACCCAGCTGCGAAGGGGCTGATAAGATGCCCCACTTTCCCCTCTGGCTACTTTGCTGCTCAGCAAGGAAAGTGACAGCAGGGTGCCTCCCACAGCCTTGCCAGTGACTGACAGCTCAGGGGACACTGGGCAGGGCAGCCCCATGGGCCCGCGGGACTGTTCCCTCAGCCTCAGCCCCAATACTTGGTCCTTCTACCCCAGGCCAACCCCTCCTGGATCCAGGCAGCAAGAATGCCCTTCTCCTCTGGGCTGCTATGACATCTGCCAGCCCAGCTTGGCTTGTCTTAGCTCCATGTCCCCCAGATGGACTCACAGACCTCGGTGCCACCCACCATCCTAGAGGCCCAAGGGAAATGAGCAAATGCAGCGGAAGAAACCCAAAGGTGACCCACGCTCCTGCTGTTCCAAGTCAGAACTCCTGTCTTCAGGTGACTGGTCACCTGTGTACCCAGACAGGCACTGGGGGTGGAGGGAACACCCATGTGACTGCACAGTTCTGCAAACATCAACAGGGAGACACACAGAGCAGGGTCACTGCCAGAAATGCAACCCAAACTACAAACAAGCAGGCCCGGAGCAGCCGAGTAGCCGCCTCTCCCCGGGTCCCGACAGCCTAGTCACTTAGCCAGATCAGCATCGGCACCGCTATGTCCCAGAGTCCTTTGACGACTTGACGACTCCACTCACTGGCCAGCATGGAGTCAGACACAATGGCCACAAACCCGAGGGTGAGAGGAAGGAGACTGGAGATGCTTCTGGGAGTGTCTGAGACTGCGCAGGCGGGAGGGGGCCAGCACAGCAAGGTTTCCCTGTGAGAGGAAACCCAGGTCCCCACACCTTGAGAGGCTTCTTGCTGTGATGCCCAGCGAGCAGGTGAGTGAGCCCCACTCACCCCTGTCCCATAAACCACCTGCACACCTGCTGGGCTTGACCGCCCTTTGATACCCTGCTCCTGACCTTGGCCAGACAACCACCACCTGGGAGAAGAGCAGCCAGATTCCTCCCTCCTCTAGAGGGGACAGAGCAGCAGTCTCCCCAACTCATCACAATAAACTGCCAAGCCAGCAAGAGCCACTGCAGGCAGCTGAGCCTAGGACCCAGGGGCCTCTGCCCCCACCCTTCCCTTGATGAGCTCCCCGCCTGCTCCAGGTCTGACAGTGCAGGAGGGAGGCAGAGGAAGGAAAGCAGTGGTCAGGGGCATCCGCCTTCCTGGAAGGGCAGCCCGGCGCGATTCCAGCCAGGCTCTCTCTTCCCGGCCGCTAATGGGTCTCAGAGCTGTGAGGCAGCTCAGCCAAGGCGCCCCCGACACAGCAGGTCAGGGTTTCAAAGGAACAGGAGTCCACTCAGCCAACACACTGGGCTCCCGTGGCGCCAGCAGGCCATCTCATGCGGCCACCCGAGCCTCACTGGAGCCAGGTGGTGTCCCCCCATGCCTGGCAAGGCAGACCACAGTGAAGGTGACAAGGCAACCAGGTCTCTGGCTCAGGCCAGGCAGGAATCTCCACTCACCAGCATTGACAATGGCGTCCACCTCCAGCTTAGTGATGTCACCTCGGAACAAGGAGATCTTCTCATTGAGATGCTTGTCCTTTTTGTACTTGGGCTCCTCCACCTTCACAGTCAACCCTGGAACAAGCGGAGTTTCAGAGGGATTCACAGAAAGGCCTCCACTGCAGAGTGACCCACCAGTGCCCATAGACTGGGTGCCTCCGTCCACTCCTGGGTGCCCCCCCCACCTGCAGAGGTAGCCGGCCTCGGGGGCACTGATGACACTGGTAATGACAGTCCATACCAACTAAGCAGCACACATGCTGTCTTGAATCTTTACAACAACGTTACGCACAGGTACAGTGTCAACATCACCCATCCCATTTTACAGATGTGGAACTGAGGCCTGGGTGGGTTAAGTGACTTGCCCAGGTTACCAGTTACCAGGACTACAATTTGCAGGGCCTGGGCACTCACTAAGGATGCACCCCTGCAAGCCACTCCACCAAAGCTACAAATCCTAGTTCAACAGCCACTGGATGATGGGTCTGGGCACAGCCTCCCAACAATGTAATGGGGATAAAAACCGAAGCCACCTCAGGCTGTGTTAATAATTAAATGAGGTGACACGTGCAAAGTGCCCCACAGACAGCAAGCGCTCAATGAACGCTGCTGCCGTTCTTCTTGGCCTTGTCTGTACAATTCCCCCAAGATGTGCTCTGAAGAGGCCACCCGCCCAGTGGCCAGCAGGGCCTCCCCAGCAGGCCTACCTTTCGCCGTCTCCTTCCAGGTCGGGATCTTCTTCAGCCTGATGAAGTCCTGGCAGAAGTAATGTTCCTCCCGCTGCTTGTCACTCAGGCCCTTCAGAAAGGCTGCAGGGGCAGGGTGGAGCAGGCAGGAAGGAGGGTCAAGGCAGGCAGGGAGGGTAGCAGTCCTGGGGGCTTCCCACCCCCACTGGTCTCCCAACGCTCACTAAGTCCAAGGACGAAAACCAGCCCTAGGAGTCCATTCTTCCTACAGGCTCCAGGGAGGGAGCAGGCGGGGAGGGGCCTCACCACTGGGGGTGTTAGAGTCTGGAGGCCCCTAGAACATCTTGCCCTGCCCTCTTTGTTCGGGAGGGGAAACAGGCCCAGGGTGACAGAGGACATCTCCCAAGCACCACAGACCCAAATTCAGAAGTCAGCTCTACCACTTTCCAGCGGCACCCACAGCTCTAGGTCCCTAATTTCTTCACTTACAGAAAGGGGATGAAGAGACCTCTTGCAGAATAATTTCAAACTTACAAGTGCTAAGGCCAAGCAGGTTGGCCACAATGAATGAATTACATTATCAATCAGTTACATCATCAATCGATTACATTATCAGTCCATTACATGATCAATCAGTTACATTATCAATCAGTTACATCATCAATGGGTTACACTACCCGTCAGTTACACGATCAATCAGACATCGATATTGTCATTATGTGTAGGCTCAGGACATAGGGAACCAAGACAACCTTCCTCCTCAAAGAGCCACAGAACTAAACGGCTCTGCTTCCTGTTCACAGCATCCCACCAGCATGGGCTGAGGACTTCCCCCTGACAGAGGCCCACTGGGGCCTCTCGCCGAGGCGTGGCGTGAACCAAGGGAGCAGGCAGCTGGAACTGTCCCTACTTTACAGGTGAGGAAATAGAAGCTTGGGCAGATCAGGAGGCCATCTGTGTCTGGTGAATGGGAAGCCTCCCTCCCCCAACCCACTCATGGACTCTGAGTCTGCCAGGGCTGGTTCCCCTGCTCTGGCCTTGGCCCTGGGCCTGGCATTCCTTTGGGCAGCAACAGCAGAGGAGCCCAGAGCACCCCTTAGAGGTGTCTCTCCTGAATGGTGGTCCAGGCTCATGGCTTGTGGGCTCCCCCTGCTGGCCTGAGGCCACGTGGGTGCCAAGGTGCTCAGCCCAGCCTCACTCCCTGGGACCACACACTCCCCAGTTGGAGCAGTCCCTACTGACCACAGGAGGGGGGGGAAAACAAACAGCAAAGGTCACAAACAAGGGACTCAAAAAGCACCAGAAAGTGTGCAGAGGTGGGAGGGCCTTTAGAGGAAGTGGTGGGAAAGGAAGGGTTGCCTCTGGGAGCCTTCTGGGGAGATGGCTGCAAGGGCCAGGTATTCGAAAGTCAGGTTGGTCCCCTGCGAGTGCCCTTTTCCCTGCCAAAGTCACTAGGTGCATCCAAGCCTCTGCTCCTCTAGGACGCATGCACACAAAGGGCCAGTTCATGGCCTGGCTCAACACTATGGTGGATTATAAAAGGCTCCAAACCAGAACCACACTTTCTGGCAGCCACGTCCCACCCCATCCATAAGACACCTACGAAGTGCAGGTTCAGAATCTGGTGCTGGGAATACAACACTCAACAAGGCACACATGGTCCTGGCCATGGAGAGCCTATAGTCCAGCACTGGAGACAGGCTCACCAGACACAAGCAAGCCAGCCACGCAAGGGAGTGCCAAGCAGGGCCGGTCAGCGGGCTGGGAGACAGGAAACCGGAACCCCAGCCCAGGGAGCTTAAGAGAGGCTCAGAAGAGGAGTGGGAGGCAGCAGGGCAGGGAAGGATGCTCCACCTGCAGGAACAGCATGCTCAGGGGCATGGGTAAGTGAAATTCAGGGTGGCAGGGGTGGGGGGAAGCACAGGGGAATGATGCTGAGAGGAGGTAGGACCAACTGAGGAGCCACCAAGGCCTGCTAAGAACTGACCATCCCAGGGACACCATAATCAGATGGAAAATGCTTCCACCAGATAGACTCAGAGCCCACACACATGCCATTTGCATTCTTTCCAAGAGGCCAAGGGTAGTGCTGCTGTGGATGGTACCAAGCGTGGATGGTCCCCTCTGTCACTAGCGTCCCTTGCTGCTCACAGCCCACTCTCCTGTGCCCCTTCCCAAGGGGCTGCCCTCCCCGCTGGGCACCTGACCCCACGCACTGAGAGACAGGCCAAGGGCTCCTACTTAAATGCTCCTTTCTTTGTGTGTTGCAGGGGTGGCAGTGGGGGTAAGGGTGCTGGTATTTGGAAGGAGCTAAAGTGCTTCTCCAAGCCTCAAACATCCTCTTCTATAAAACGGGAGTACAGAAGGCTCCCTAGTGCATTAAGCGAGATGTGAACAGGCTTAGTGGGGAGGGGGGGAAGTCATGGCAAAGAACTTGGCTGCTGGTGGACAGTGCCACCCAGCAAATAACAGGCTGTGGAAAGGCCGACTCCATCCAGGCTCTGCCTCTCCCTGGGGGTAGGGGACAAGATGAGGTCCCGGGGCCTGACCAAGCAGAGGGAAGGCGGGAACAGCTTCCTATAGGAGGCACTCCCCAACTTCTCCGGTCAGCCCCAGGAGCTGCAAATTGCTAGAAAAATCTCACCACCAAACAGAAGGATCCCTCTAAATTTTCTTTTAAATCCTCACTCCAGGACATGTTTATTGATTTTAGAGAGAGGGGGAGGGAAAGAGAAAGAAAAGAACATTGATGTGAGAGAGAAACATTGATTGGCTTTCTCCCGCATGCACCCTGACCAGGGATTGAACCCCCAACCAGGTATGTGCCTTGACTGGGAATCGAACCCGCAAGCTTTGGGTGTACTAGAGGATGCTCCAGCCCACTGAACCACATTGGCCAGGGCTCCCTCTAAATTCTTGATCTCCCCCTGGTGGACCGTCTTCCAGGCCACTCCAGCTGCTGCTTTAGAAGTAGGTGCCGCTCTTCCATCTCCCTCTCCCAAGCCTCCCCACCTCATCCTCCCATTCAGTCACTGGGCACGAAGGTCCTCCCTCCCAGCCGAGGTCACCCGGCTCACCTTCCAGAGGCCTAGCTCCAGCAGCTCCCCCGCACTGGACTGTTCTGTCTGCCCTCACCCTCTGGTATCCCATCTTTTCAAACAAAACCCTCCCTCAACCCCACATCCCATGCCCCACAGCTATGGCCTCATTTCTCTGCCCCCCTCCTCCACTGTCTACACTCCCTCCCTC